CCCACACCGGCGTGATCAACGCCACTGCACACACACACACACGCAAATAGGCACCCCCAATCCCGCACAGCATGAAACAGAAAAAAATAGACCAAAAAAGAATAAAACGCTCCACACAAAACGTAGACGGCGCCTGCCGCCCACCACAACCCACACCCCACACATCCGGTGCTGTTCCCCACAAAAACAGGGCCGCACGCACCCGCAGAATAAACAGTCGGAATACCGCAAAAAACATAACACAAAACAAATGTGCCAAGCCCCTGCTGCACCAACTGATGACCCGCAAGTGCACAGCAAACAACACTTCAATAAAACAACAACAATACAAGTGTGGCATCAAACAGGCAAACAGGCACGGCCAGCTTATCAACAACAGCAACGCACAAAATACATGCGGTGCATCGAAAGTGCGTCATGTCCGAAACACACAACCAACTTTGATGCATGCGCACACCTCGATGGATAGCAATGAAACTGCATAGCCGACGGAGAGTGTCCTCTCCGGCGTGGGGCGGCTGCCCTCAGCGCACTATAAACGCCCATCGTCACCGAGGCAGTGCACATCCACCACCGCACCGATGCAAACGTCGCCAACAAATGAAAACAAATAAGAGCAATTTGAGCGCGTCGCTGTTCACACACCGTGAATCGTGTACAACGCGAGTTCCGGGCACAGCAGATGAAGCGCAGTCTGTGCCTCCGGTGTTAGCACACGGCCGAGCAAAAAGGCAGAAACCCGTCGCATCATTCCCACAGCCCAATTTACGGTCCTTGAAGCACCGGCGCTAAGGAGCAAGTGCCGGTCACATGCACGCACGCAGGGGACAGGCCCCAAGAGCTCGACGGTCGGCGGTGCAAGTCGCCCAACCCCGCGGAGTGGCAGTTGTGCAAAACATCTCGGGGTAGGGGCTGACGCCAATTTGTAAAACCCACCTCCTTTCCAGCAGGGTGCGGCCGGCATTCGTGTCCCCGGCCCATCGCTTCCTCCCTCCCCCAAAGGGCGCCATTTTCCTCCATTCCTCGTGCTTGGGCGACTTCGCGCCACTGTCCGATGTGATTTACATAAAACAGGAGGCGTATTGGTGCATCCACAGCTGTGTGTGGGGACGTGAGGCTCGGTGTTGCAGGTGCACACATTCGTACCGAGTAAAGCCCACTGTGTTTAAAAAGTGAAACCTCACGGGCAACGCCAAACCGAGAAGCGGCTTCCCTGCCCACATAGCAGTCAGGCATCGGGCACCACCATCCATGCGACTAGCAAGAAAAAAGTGGAACAGAAGGCATGCCACCAACACAGCCGGCAGTGGGGACAAACAAAGCACGAAGACACGCAGCAACGGTTGCGGGCACAGCGCAGACTAAAAGTGAGCCGCACTTATTTCCCACAAAGAAAAAAAAGAAAAAACATTAAAACAAAAAAAAATGGAGTTCCAGCAGGACGCCCAGAAAAGAAAAACAAAAACAAAAAACAAATTACTGCGGTACGTGTTTTTTACTTCACGTGTCCAGAAGCACAATAGAACCGTGTATATTTACTGCCCGCAGAAAACAAAAACAAAAACGAGTGCCTAGTCACGCATAACACATTTGCCCCTCACAGTCTCCGCGGCCTCGTGTCTCGTTTCGGCAGTCCGTCTAACGCACAGCGACGAGGCAGGCAGCGTGCGTGTGTGAGCAGCAGCAAACAGAAGGGGAAGAGGCGCCACCCACTGGGAGTGCGCATAGCAAACAACCACTAAAACAAAGCAAAAAAAAGGGATCTTGTGCATACCAACAAAAAAAAAAACAAGCAAAAAGAGAGAGAAAAATTAAAACTATATTTATATATAAAAAAAAGACCCGCCGAACTGCAGCAAACTTTTTTCCACGACGGGTAAGAACAAGCCCACATCCTTCGGCTCAAAAGACTGCTACGACGCCACACAGCCCCAGCAGGACGAGCAGCACAACTTGAGGCATACGCCCACGCACAGCGCCGTCAGCACTTTTGTTGAGCTTCAACCCCATGTCCGCGCCCAGTCGTGGTAGTTGCACCGCAGGCGCCAGCACCTCAAGGGCGTTTTCTTGTGGCGCGGTATCCACTTCCGTCGGTTCAGCATTGCTGCTAGTGTTGCCCGCATTTTGCACATCGTCCCGCATCGGTCCTGCATTGTGGGGCTGCGCATCGACTTTGTTGCCAGCAGTGGCCTCATCGCCTTCCGTTCCGGAGCCACCTGACGGTGCATCGAGTTGTGCACCCGGTTGTGGTAGTTGCACCGCAGGTGCCAGCACCTCAAGGGCGCTTTCTTGTGGCGCGGTATCCACTTCCGTCGGTTCAGCATCCTTGACAACGTCGCTGGGCGGCTGCGTCCTGGAAGCAGGACCCTCATTATCAGTGCTTGCCGGGGAACTTTGATGCTCTTCGATTTCATCTTCTGTATCAGGGGGTGGAAGAGTGACATTGCCGCTTTTAATATTCTTGATCTGAGCGTCACTCAAAACGCG